AAAATCGTTGTATATGTAAAAAAATGAAAGAGTCCTGTTGGAATAGTTGTCATCCCACTAAAATTTAATTAATTCGTAATACGCAATGTTATAAATAAACTCTATCTAAATTCCAAAACAATGTACTCGATGAAATACTCATTTTAGAATTCTATCACAACCTATGTTTATTCGGAATCAACCTAGCGCTAGGTGCTTTCTAAATCCCATTCCGACGTACAACATATCAATATATACATGTTAATATCTCAAAATCCTGATTATAAACAAGATTTTGAGATTCTAACAAAAAATATTCCTTGAAAAATTTTAGTATAAGCCCAAACCTCTTCTCTAATCCGAGGGCTAACTTCACCCTAACCTTAAACTGGGTTAATTTTTATCTTATATAATTTATATATTACGCGATTTGTAAATTAGTACCCATGTATAAACACTGTAATATTTAAATTGATCTTTAAGTAATCAAAAGATCATTCATGATAAATTTACACACGATAATTATGAATCGCGTAAAGATTCTTCATAATTATATACGACTAGTCATTTTGGTATCTCTTTAATTCTTATTTAATACGCAATTGATTGATCAAATTACATTGTTGTGATATCAATTTGATAAAATTGAGTAAGAATTGACTTTATGCTTCGCATAGTGTATATTTAACAAGAATCGATGTGTGATACGTACAATATACGTACCAATACTTTTAATAGTAATAATTTCGGCACCTAAAATAGTTTCGAATGCCCATAATAATAGCAGTCTATAATAATGGATAACTTAATAGTATCGACAATTTCAGCAGGTAAAAAAAATTTCTCCACCAGCCAGCCCTTTTGAAACATCATGACAAAAGTATTAAAAGCATTTCGCAAATCCTTTATAATTTAGACACCTATGTATATCTATTCTGTTGAATGTCAGATCTTTCAATATCAATAATACCAACAAACGATAATAACGTAGAATTTAAATAGATATACGACACTAGTGGTTTATTTTAAATGAGAAAAATGACTTTATAAATTGATTTGCAGAGATATAATATTAGTCTTTACAAAATTTTATTACGTATAAATATTGAACTGTTAGCTTAAAGATTCGTGAATCATAAAGTTTTTAATACGACACCACACATAGGATATCGTTACAGAGTTATTTAATGTTCAATATCTCTGATGTTTGACATTTATTAAAAAACCTCTCTATAACTAACATCTTTATAACAACACATCGGCAGGTTTGGATTTTATTATTATTGTTATTTGAAATTGATTATTTGGATATAACGAATCGTAAATTTTAAATTTGAAGTTAGAAAGCGTAGTAGGTTTTTGTGACAAATGTATTTTTCCTTTCAGAACCATTGGTTCGTTAGAATTGACTGTATTTGGGATCAATATGAAGAAAGTCTTGCAAGTTACCTCTACCATCCGATGAAGAAAGTCTTGCAAGCTGCCTTTACAATCCAGAGAGGATATACGCCATCATAAAGCTTACCTATAGAAAAAAGTTAAACATCGTGTAGAGGAAGGTTTGGTTAAGTCGGTAAAGTAGACACACTTATAAAGATATAGGAAATTGAAAATAGTCATGTCCTGCTATAAAACTTTATGTTTCATTATAAAATATATAATTAGAAGAAACAAGTATATGTGAAATATTATTTGAATAATTTTTTTTTCCTAATATTTGCGACACATTTTACAATACGAATACTGTAATATTTTTTGTTTGTAGATTTATTGCAGTTTATGAAGTTTATGAACTTATATCGATATTAATATCCATAAAAGATAAAAATTTTCTTAATATAACTACATTCTACATAAAATTAAATTTGTTCAGAATTTTAAATTCTTTAATGCATATTTACGCTATGAGGGAAGAATAAATTTGTTAGATATCAACTTTATATATGAACTAGGTAAACACGATCAATTATTGGTTCATATAGATGTTATACTAACAATTTCTGCATTAAAAACGGCTGCTAGATAGAGAACTAATGTGTGTGATGTTCGACAATTAATAAACATAAACAAATTAATTGTTTAAAAAAAATCCATTCAAAAGGTACATACGTATATATATACTTTTTTGCATTATGATGTAAATGTTGTTAGTATGCATTTATAAATGTTTTTTATGCACTTTTAGCACTAGCGCTAGGCTAGGTTCATTTTCTGTTTAGATAGCGATAGGGATATTTCACGTGATACATCGTGTGAAACGGTAGCATTTATACGTATAAATACTTGTGCTTATTTCATTTGTTACATTGCAGTTCATTCTTTTTTTCATCATATACGACATCTATCAAGCAATTCATATATAATTCATATATATATATAATGTCTTTGATACCAGTTGAAATTCTTCGTCTAGTTTTTGGACTTTTATCTAAAGATAAAAAGTCTCTACGTTCTTGTCTTTTAGTGGATCGAACATGGTGTGAAAGTGTTGTTTCGATTTTGTGGAATGATCCATTCCAATTTTTGGAAGAACCATCTTCCTTAATTATTCAAACTCTTCTTTCATGTCTTAATGAATCCGAACCCGAATCAACTATTTTAAAAAAAGAAGATTTCAGTATAGAGAATTTAATAATGAATAGGCCTACCTTTGATTATGTGGCTTTTATGAGACATCTAAAATACGTTAACATATATGAATCATCTTTAGTTTGGCTAACGCAAGAGGGTAAGGATACATCCCTCGGATTTTTTGTCGCCAGAGAACTTTGTAAGCTTATAATTAAACGTTGTAAGACAATTCTTACTTTATCTATTAGCACAGAAGGCATGGTATCTTTTACTGATGAGAATGATTATGTATCGATACCATGTTTTCCTGGCGCTCCTGATTGTTTATCTAATCTTCAGGAATTCATGTGTTGTGGCGCTTACGATAAGAAAAAGATTTTTAAGAGTATGGCTAATTCTTGTAGAAATATTCGACGTTTATATGTTGATTATTATATGGATGATTTTAAAACTGCCGCTCCTCCGGAGTTGGCAAAACTTATCAAAAACCAACAAGGTTTAATAGAATTTAAGCTTACTATGTATGCTAAAGTATTTGATATTGTTTCTGCTTTAGGAAGTCAGGAAAAAACTCTTTCATATGTGGAATTCCGTGGTATTGATTTTGGTGATGATGTTACTTTTGATTCACTTGTTAATTGTACCAATTTAAAGTATTTATCATTACATTCATGTGATAATGTGACTAACAAAACATTAGAACCTTTAACAACTGTATCTTTCCCTAATTTGAAAACTTTTATCTTTAAAGTTATACCAAAACCTCCCGTTGCTTTATCTTCATTTATTCGTAGTAATTGTATTAGTTTACAAGAATTAGTTTTAGAATGGCAACAAATCACCGATCCAGAAGATGATCCTGAAATTGTTGAAACTATCATTGAATATTGTCCTAATATAACTTCTTTTGAGGGGCATTTAAAGGTTCCACAACAATTAATTCCTTTTCTACAAGCTTGTTCTCAATTAAGAAATTTAACTGTTCATGGTAAAGAACGAGTTGTTGCCGACGAACTTTTACCACAACTTGGTCCGTTAATTCCTGCAAAAATGTCTAAATTAAATATTTGTGCTATTTGGACATTTACTCCATCAGCATTACAAGAATTTTTAGACCTATGTATTGCTCCATTAGAATTTATAGGTATTCGAGAATGTTATGATATAACTGATGAACATCTAGATATCCTTGCTCGATACGCTGAAAAAGGTTCATTGAAATATTTGAATATTAAGGCTGCATCAAGGATTACGAAGGAAGGATTAGAAAATATTTGTAGTGTTGTTGATGTTATAGAACACAGTGATCCTTCTTAAGACAATCGATCGTTTTCAATTTAAATTTTATACGTGTAAGATCATCATAGTACTTCATATAGAATATCATAAAACTCTTTAAAATAGGATATAGACTCAATATATAGGAATTATTTTGAATATTTTGAATTCGGTTTAAAATTATAAATTATTTTGATTTGTCTTGATTAATCCTTGTTATTTGAAAAAGAAATTATTTTTCAATAGCAAAAAAATGTTAGGAATACGTTGTAAAGAATATAAACAAATCAGAAAAATATTTACATTCTATACATATACATTTTTTATTTTTATTTTTTCTTGTAGACTAATTTATATAATGCAAATTTTTGTTAATTAATCAGTATAAACGATATAAAGTATTACCTTAATTCTAGCTATTTATTATGTAAAAGTTTTTCTTGATTTGTTTACATCTCTCGTGGTTCATTTATAATTGTTATTAAATCTTATATTTTATATTGTATACAAAGATAAATATGAATTAACATATATATATATAATTGACCGAACTTGCATAACTTTTTCTAATCGTATCTGATAAAAGAATGGTATTGAACTATAAATTAGAAAGATGTAATTATATTTCTTTTATTTATTCATAATATCTATTAGGGTTTTATAATTCTATTACGTATTATTAGCATGAATTAAAAAAATTGATTATTGCATATTTTTCCGCTTACAACTTTGAAGCTATTCAACGGATACAATATATGAATTAGATTTAGTTTACAATAATAAATATATATCTTTATAATGATGATACTGTGGTATTAAATTGCTTTTTATATGAAAATAAATGTTAATACTATGTCGTTATTTAATATATTTTTTGAGAAATTTTCAGTACAACAATAAAATTACAAATATTCATCCCAATAATATGCCTTTTTTTGTTTTATCTTATCTAATATAATTTTGATATCATATAATATTATTTAATATATCGTTATTCCTATATCAAATGATTTTCCAAAATCTATATTTTTTATATAATATATACTATACATAAATGTAATAATACTAGCTATAATTAAAATATAAATTACTTTTGAGGGAAAAATGCTTTTTTCCAATTTTGTATCGACGTATCTATCAAAAAAAAAAAAAAAAAAAACCCTGCGAATAGTCTACATGAATATAGTATCTTTTCCCACCATATCAACAATTCTCATCTCATTACTATTTAAAAGCACATACATTCTTACTGGTACTGGCGTTGGCCTAAGACATGTTGCCTGCAAGACAAATTCTCGCGTCGTCGGCGGTGGAAATGAATCGTTAAGTGGTGCTGTATTTTCAAGCAAGAGTCATAAGTTTTTACGTTAACATTGAATGTACAAAAATACTTCTTACGATATTTATTCACATACCAACAGAAGAAAACAATTCGTATACACATTCTCGTTCTTTCCCATCGGAAACTTGACTTTCCGGTATGTCCAAAAGTTTTTCAACAAGAGAATATTGTTTTGGCAACTAAAAATCATTATCGTTTAGATATTATAAAATTTCCACAAAAAAAAAAAAAAAAAAAACGTTGGTTACCTTTCGTAAAAGTGAAATTGCTCTACCCATTAACAATTCATTTTGTCGGATTAGCTGAATTATCTCATCGTACGAGATATTCTCTGAACTGTAGTTTATATAACATTAGTTTGTAATTTAATTGATAATCGGAAATAATTTACCAATATCTATTCACCTTATATCATTCCATGGGAATTTAATCAGTTCTTTTGTTAATGTTTCCAAACCGGAAGCCACTTGTTTGATATTTTTGGAGGCAGGATGAGATACTAATGTATCATATACGATAAGAAATATTGTAGGCAAGAGCCTGATTTTATAATATATAAATATGAGATGCTATATAATGTCTTAAAAAAAAAAAACTGTATAATAATAAAATAAAGACCAACATTTTAAATAAATCTTTCACGGATAAATGTTCCAAATAATGAAGTGCCTAAATAAAAATTGCACTAAATTATATGATAAAAAATTATCTTCAAATTGAATTAATTAGACAAACGCTCTATACCTTTTCTGCTTCCAGAGAACATTTGAACAACGGAGTTTGACGAACTGCGGGTATTCGTTGAGCAGTCTATGCATTATGAATAATGATGCCTTATGAATCATTCAATAGGTCATAAAAATTGTTAATTGCAATGTATATATTATCTTACCTTCCACAATTCTTGCCATAAATTGCCTTTCTCCAACATTCGTTGGCTAAGAGTTCCCTTGTTTGGGTCATTGTCATTGGGGATCCAATCGCGCGGTGAATGCCATCGAACAAAATCTTCCAAGATGGCATGTGGGTTAGCTGCTTTGAAAGCCTGCATGTCTGAATGTAAAATTATAAAAGATCAGTTCGCATGAACATCAAAATATTCAATAGCTTAAAGTGCTTACCAGAAAACAAATGTGCAGATTGCATTTGGGCTCGTACTTTAGTCGCATCTTCTGACGTGCCCAATTTTTCAAATATCTCTTCTTGTTCACGTAGCATATCTTCAGTCATTAAACCAACTTCCTATAAATATTGGTGCAGAACAAAATTTACTAAAGGCCATATTGAGTATTATTTGAACCAAAAATTATACATACCTGAGTTTCTGGTACCCAAAGAGGCTCACCAGTTGCCAACAAGGTGAGATCATTGAACGGATGTAAATGGCCTTCTCTTTTATTTTCATCATTTACCTCCCTGTGAACTTCATCTTCATTTACCGTAAGCTTTTCCTTATCAAATCCTTTATTTGACTCCATACTGGCTGAATAGTCAAGTTTTACGTAAGATTCTGTCAATGACGAATTTTGATTTGGATCTGATTGATCAGAAAAAGATGGTGGAGTGGATGAATAGGATTGACCCTGAGAAATTGATGATGACCGTCGTGAATTAAATTTATGATGTTTCGAACTCTTAGGAATTCGTAGAGGAACAGCTGGAATCTCATTTATTGGATCAACGAAATCGTCTTCCGAAGAACCATCATAATCTGGAGGCAATGTTTCAAAATCTAAGCTGGGAGAATGAACATGCTAAGAATAAATATAGGTTTGCAAATAAATATTTAAGTATTAAATTTAGAACGAAAGAATGGTAAACTACTATACAATCTTACATTCGAATATTTTCCTCCATTAGTAGCAGTAGTTGTGCTTATATCAGCATGAGTAGCACCATTTGAATTCTCAGGTCTTACAAATACCAATGACGCCGAAGGATCTATATTAATTTCATCATCCTCCGTAATACGATCAAAAAGTCGAACCAGAAAATTATCCGAGTTTGTCATTTTTGGATCCAAGCCAAAAGATTTATCGGGCTTTATAGAACCAGACCCTGAAGACTCAAAAGAGTTACTTTCGGGCAATTGTTCTTTAGATGAATTAAAACTTGTAGATAATGTTGAATTAATTTTATTAGATTTCCGTAGACGTTCGATACAACAATTAATCATGCTCAGTTTTTGATGAACAAGGTTGAACCGCATATCAATTCCAATAGTAGTATTATCATTTTTATTAAATGATGCCCCATTTTTATTTTCGATAGTTGAAGCATTTTTATCACTACTAAAAAGCGATGAATTGGGATTATCAGACCAGTTATATATGCTAATATCGGGTATAGGTTCATGCCTCTCCCAATGCCACCTAATACGCTTAAGCACTTCGTTCCAAACTATTTTCAATGATCCTAAAAGCGAATAACTTCTGAAATTTGATGTTCTGGAGACTGTCTCTAATAAATATTCAAGGAGATTCCACATGAAAGACTTGTATGGCACAATTCTTGCGTGATTAAAATGAAGACCTAATGTTGCTGCAGAAATTAGAGTAATATCACTTGAAGTATTGATTCCTTCATAATTATAATTTGGTGTTGGTCTTTTTTTTCGTGAAACATTAAATAGTGCCCGCAATATATTATCAATATCCGCATCATCCATATCAACAATTATACCAGTAGGTTGTCGAACATATCGAGCTGTATCAAACAGATCATAATCATTGAAGCTACCTGGCAAATCGTGACTAGGTATATTTCTTAATTCTCTGTTACGATTGCCAGTGTTTGAAGTTTCTGAAAGTTTATTACCGCTGTCAATTATCCAAGAAGAAATTATATTATCTATAAGACTAGATAATAAGCTATATAAATTATTTTCTTGATAAAATTTACACTTCAACAACCAAATAGAAGCACCCATGGCATCCATTTCAGAATAAACATCGTTGTCTAAATATGTATTACATGGCGCAGAAGGAAAAAATGCGGTAAGAGACATTGACTCAAGTGGATCATTAATTGGTCCAAAGGGTAAATTTGTTGTTGAAACAACCGGAGAAACAAATTCATTCGTAGATGTTGATGTATCCTTTTTATCTCCATTACCAAACATACTGTCATTTTGCCCTTCAAATCCTTCAAACAAATCATCCTCAAATGAAGTATCCTTTCCATTCGAATTATTAAAGGAAGTAGGTTGAATATCGTCATAATCAAGATTTTTCCAATCTTGGTCATCCCAATTTTGTAACTCATAAGTGAATAAACCAGCAACGGAAATTCCCAGATGTGGCATCTTGTCTAATTTAGGTTCATCAACTTGATCTGTTTAACCAAAATCATATGATTGTCAGATCTAGGTATGTGTTATCAATTAAGTCTAATTTTTGTATTAGCACAATTAAATCAAAGAATCTTGATAAATTGTTTTCAAATGACTCACCGAAAGGTAATTGATTCAAATCCATTTTTTCAATAAAGAGATCTGTTAAACCTGTTAAATGTGAATAACAAGGTGGAATCTCCCGAATGTAGGTGGTATTAAATCTTATTTCTACCTCACTAGCATCATCCACATTTTTGGATCCATCTTTGTTAAACAAACACATATAACCGGCATATAATAAATTTGTAATCTGACCAGTTGGAACAAAAACAGGGAGTTTGCATTTTGTATTATGAAATACAATGGCAAAAGATGAAAGAAGAAGTTTTGTAGTACTAAGATCAATTGTACTAGATTTCGGGGCGGATCCAGAAGAAAAAATATCGGTCAGAGTCAAAACTAAAATATGAGTAAGACCAGTCCATCGATGAATTGAATTTAAATTTACTGATGGTAAGTCATGTGAAGTATTCGGAAGGGAATGTGGAAGGAATTCAGAACTAGGTGAAAATGGATCAGGATTTGGTGGAAAAAGTGTTGTCGTAGGTGGAGGAGGAAAATGTTGTGAAGGAGCACTGCTTACAGAGGATGAATTATTTATATCCAATTCATTCCAGCGTTTTATTGGATGATAATGATAAGATAAAGTATAAGATTTATCCTCAAGAATAATTATTTCTCGTTTCACAAAAGGATCGATACCTCCAACTGTCTTAGCATAAGTTTTATGACTAAAAGGTGTTAAGCTTGATTCGTCAAATATTCCAAGTTGGCCGTCTGTTACTCCCCAACCCACTAATATTTCTTCAACAGTTGTTATAAAACGTTCCCATTGTGAAGCTGCTGTATAGTCGACAAATTCAAAATGCTCGTCGTCGTCAATAGGAGAGGTTGGACAAGAGACATCCATTTGCTGAGAAACGACTTATATGTTATTGAATTTTTCGGGACACATATAACGTTATTGTGATATTGTTGGGCGAAGAAAAAAAAAAAATCATTTATATATTCAGGAATTTGTGTAATGTACACGTATACGTACGTACGTACACGTATTATTTTTCTATTATATTTTTCATCCAATTAGGAAAGACTTAAAATATTGTGGCGAAGTTAAGCAAATAAAAGTCTACGTACATAGTCAAGGTTCTGGCCAAAAAAGTTCGCTATATAGAATTACTATGTTTTCTTAAGGGCCGTAGCTCTTGTTATACCGAACTAATATTAAAATTTTAAATTCGTTATATCCAGAGTTCGTTATAAAAAGGTTCGTTTTATCCAAAGTTGACTGTATCTCAATAAAATTTTTTTTCATCCAATCAAGAAAGACTTAAGATATTGTGGCAAAGTTAAACAAAAAAATTTTTAATTTTTTTTCTAAATACATATGAAAAAAAAAATTGTGCTTTGTATAAATTATGTAACGTTACTTGGAGGGATACGGTTTTAATTTAACGAGGGGTAAAGTACAATGTATAAAGTTTCTTACGTATTGCCCGGCCGGGCCAAATTCTTAAACCTTTTTTTTATGTAGTAATAACCAGGTAGATTTTTTCTATATACTGTATAAAATGGTTAGAAAAAAAATCAACCGGCGGGTTTAAATAGTTTTGTATAACCTTAATAAAAAAATGTTTTTACAACTTTACCACATTGTGTTATATAAAAGTTAAATACTATAGTTATTATCTCTCAGAAAAACAACTTTATCTATTATTTTTTCTACGTCTACAAATGTAAATGAACTTAGTTATTGCCCAGAGCGAAGCGACGGACTTATACTTCTATGATCGAAATTGTGACTTTTGATGCATATAATTTCGGCATCTTCCGTTTGTAACGCCCCGAGGTCATTAATCGAACATTTGTTATCGTTATTACAGCTGTTTTCATAAATCCTGGGACATCTGGCAAAAAATTGACCGACCGAATATTTGCCGGTTCGATAAGTTTGTATTTCGGTAATGATGATCGATATATAATAATTACGTATAATGTATATCACTATGACAGTTGCGACTTCGGTAATGACCGATATAGTCATTTATTCTGCATCACGAAGGTGATAATTTGGCATTTTATTAACTGTAAGTATATATTATTAGCTAATTGTCACCCTAGGTGATGCAGAGTAAATGGCATGTCGGAGAATGATTCTTGGGAAATGAGACATAACCATAAATATATATATGATAATTATAATTATTTTATCTCTAAATGGAGCTTTCAAGGCATGTTCGTTGGAAAGTCGTTGAAAAATATTTGGAAGGCTTAGCAGTTCGGGTAATTGCTAGACATCTAGGTATGAGCAAGTCCTCTGTGAGTCGAATTCTTAAACAATTTCGAAGATATGGATGCATTGAAAAACTTTCAGCAATTCTAGGAAAACCTCGTTCACTAAATTTGGATGATATAAAATATTTTAAAACTTTAATGAATGAAAAACCTGATTGGTATTTATATGAGTTACAATCAGAAATGGAACTTTGGTTAGGACATAAAATCAGCTTAACAACAATTTGGAGAGTTTTATATTAGCTTGGATACACAAATAAAAAAGTATACATTCAAATATATATAATGTTTACAAATTTATATTTAAATTTAATTATATATATGTAGATTTCAAAACTTGTGAAAGAAAGAAATCAAGTAGATAAAGATAATTTTATTTTACGAATGTCTTCATATACGTCAAATCAATTGGTTTTCTTAGATGAGTTAGCTTATAATAGAAGAATACTATCACGTCGTTATGGTTGAAGTTTTTCTGAAATATGTGCTCAGAAATATACATTTTTTGTCAAAGGATGATGATTTACAATTGAAGGTGCATTATGTATTGATGGTCTTCTGGTATATAGTATTCAAGAAGGTTTTATGAATACTAACATCAGCAGAATAAATGTGCAAAATATTGCGAAAGATTTTGCATACTGAAAATCTTTCGAAATAACTGCGATTGATGCAAAATTATTTCGAAAAATAATTTTGAAAGAATTTTGGTTAATTTACAAAATTTTAAAAAATAACAAAACTAAAAAAAATGAAAAAATAATTCAAATAATATTAGAAATATTTAGAAAAATTCAAAATATTTTGAAAATATT